ATTCTCTTGAGGCATATATTGTGATTTTATTGTATTCAATATTTTTATAAACATTAAGTAATTAAGTATGTTTCAATTTATTTGAAAGTTAATAAAATTATAAATAACTATATATAGTTATTAATCTTGGTATTTTGTTTGTTTTGTAGGTAAATTTCATTAAAGTAAAAAAGTTCAAGTTTGGTAAGTTCCCTAAATCGACATTAATTGCCTTGAGAATTGAGATGTTTATTTCAAATGTATTTAGTTAAAATTTAAATATAGATGATAAAAAATAAATATTAATTATTCAATTATAATTTTTTTGGTATAATTTATTATATTATGAGTGAGATATCATAAAATTTATTAATTAGTGATTGCAATTACAAAAAGTGAATTTTATAATTAAATAATAGGTTATTGTTAAAATTTATAATTATAGCATGAAATTAATTTAATTTATTTTTTTTAAATGTTAATGTAACTGAGAAATATGCATTCATAATATTGGTAGAGAAAATATATGAATTTATATTTTTTTCAAAGTAAAATAGTATAGCAACATGCCACTTGTCAGTAAAACAACTCGAAAAAGGGCATTTTTGAGCATCACCGACATAAAACATCTTGTTAATTGGCAAGAGGCGTGCATGCTTGTACTATTGACAGAATAAGTAGCAACAAGGGACTTGTTGCTGAAAGTAAGATGCTTTACTATTCACATAATATTTTTTTTGTAATACTATTCACATAATATTCAACAACAAGAGATATATTACTGAGAATAAGGTGGCCTTACTATTCATGAGAGTGGCAGCAACAAGGGACTTATTGCTAAAAGTAGGATGCTCTATTATTCACGTAATATTTAGCAACAAGAGATATGTTACTGAAAATGGGGTGGGTTTTATGACATTATCAGTAACAAGGGACTTGTTGCTGAAAATGGTACCAAAATTCCAATGACTAGCTCCAATGACTATTTTTAGCAACATAAACCACGTTAGTAAAACTTCACTTTCAGTAACAAGGGGTATGTTGCTGAAAAAGGTGCAAAATTTCAATAATCAACTCCGGTGACTTTTTTAACAACATAAGTCACGTCAATGAAACCATGCTTTTAGCATTAAGAGGTATATTGCTGAAAAAAATGCTTTGAATCAGTAATGTGAAGCTTGTTGGTAATGTATTGTCAACCAAAACTTCTTCAACAAAGGCATTAGTAACATG